AAATTCTTCTTTATTTCGTAAGGCTGGTATCAAGTGGCCCTATGTAACTTTGTAAAAATGTCTTTTGTTGGGTATGCTAATGTTTATTGAAGAGTTGACTAAACGATAACTGAAACTGCCTTTATGTGTTCAAAAAATCTGTTGTTGCCATTAATCCATCATAGCAACGCTAGTTTATTATCTTATATGGTTTACACATTGGCTTTATGCACGTTATTAACTAACCTTAAGAGTGGCCCATTTTCAATATTCATTCAGTCTCTATCAAAAACGTCTTCAACGACTCATCCGTCAAAACCTTCTGCAACGGGAATGATCGTAGATTTCCGCTTGTTGATGTTATGATGCGTTCCCATATATAGCATCGTTGATTAGCTCTCGCAGTGTTAATGTACCATTCATAACTTCCTTCTAAAAAAACATTTGCTATAATGTTCTGCCCCGAACTACACACAATCTTTCTAAGACTGGAGTCAGCTCCTTTGAAGTTCGAACCACCGTTCCCAAACACATGTTTCAGGTGACCCATCCTACCAACGAATCTCAAGAGAGCGCATAAAACGAGTCAGCATCCAAGGTGTGAGCCATTTTGGAACAAACTTCTACAATAAACAGGCAAGTGAATAAACAACTGTATCGTTTTTCAACGACTCGCCTCTTCTTAACGTAAAATGGTCCAAAATAGTCTGTGCCAACATAATTGGATGGTGGTACAAAGCCTTCAAGGAGACATTCAAGTAGTGGAGCCATAATCTGTGTCGGCGTACTGTTGAGTCTCTCGCATAAGAAGCACCGTTTTAGGACTTTTGATAGCAGCTTGAGCCTAGTTCTAATTTTCTTACCAGCAGACATTACATGGAGTGTCATGTCCTTATTCGAAACAAGTGCACCTACTCTCCTCGGTTTTTCTTGCGATTCACATGTTTTGCCGTGCTTGCCTTAGTGTTTCCATCTCTATGGGAAATGAGATAATTTGAATCAATTTAATTATATTCTGCTTCGCGCTACCAATTTCTTCCAGTCTCAATCAATCAAGAATTAACCGTCTTCTATCTAATCTCATACTCATACTGTGGACGAAGCGTTCGGTCCGTGAAATCACTCATTTAGCTTAATGATACTATCTAACGGCAATCCACAGAATTCTGTTTACTTTTAACACATATACATGGGATCGCTGTAGACATTTCGCGAATCGTTGCTAAGCTACTACTTACGACTCTCTCAAAACTTTTGGTTGTGTTTCCTATACAATGAAGTGCGGTTAATGACTCTGTCCAATAAGTGATAGAAGAGATAGGAATACGCAATTGTTGTTCCATGTGTTTTTCAATCTTAGCACATAGTACAGCAGCTGTTAATTCCATTCTAGGAGTGATTATAGGTTTAAGTGGGGCAACCGTGGACTAAGCTAGTAGAATGGAGCAATTAACTTGACGGGAGAGGAGCATACGCCACAACACCATACGCCAATTTCGAGGCATCGGCAAAGCACTGAATTTGAGTAGCTAGTGGTTTGTAAGATTCTGGTACGAGACATCTGGACAGTAACAGTTTACTTAGGAGCCTCATACTTATGAGCCGACAGTCCAATCTCATAAAGCACTCCCTAGGAAGCTTTGCGTTCCACGCCAAATTTTTCGGACGAGTATCCTGCATAATTAAATTAGCTAGTAAAACACCTAGTGCTATAAACCCAACTGGGTCAAATATCGAGACTACATGCGATAAAATAGTTCTCGTCGTAGGGGTCGTTTCGAATTCGTGCACTTCGAAGCAGGTCTTATACGTTCGAACATCCCACTCTTTTCGTAGAGTCATCCCGTTTCTTTCCATATATAAACATATGTCTACCGTCCTTTCTATGCAGTCTTCCTCTGGAACAAACTTCACTGATCCAACATTGTTGCTGGTTCATTTGGTTAGATTTAAACCCCTTAAACGTAACATCTCCTTCAGTTGAGAATATGTTAATGCAGCTTCTTCTAACGTATCAATACTGATCAATAAATCGTGGACACAGAACTGTTCCTTTGATGTCTGTATAATACATTCAGGAAACCTGTCCGCAATAGCCAGGATAGTTCTTTGTAGAGCAAACGTTGCGCAGCTTGCTGAGGAGTTCGCACCAAACAAATTCCCTTCTATCTAGGGGCATCACGATCCTGTAACGGAACAAACAATTGGTGGAACATTTCTTCAATATCTGCAGTGAGACCTATATGCCTTTGCTGAAATCTGGTGAAGACGTATACCAGACTGTTGACCAAATCTAGACCAGAATACAAGATTTTATTCTGGGACGTCCCGGTCTATTATGCTGCACAGTCGAATACGATTCTTAGCTTACTAGGTTTTTTCGGATGGAAGACATTGTGGTGCGTTAAATACCAAAGCCGACAACTAATCGAGTTCTGCGTAGTTTTTTGGGAGTAGCCCCGTTCACCATGTTCTACCATCACATTAACATAATCCTTATACAATCTCTGGTCATAGATGATCCGGTTCCTCAGGGAATTTAATATACTCATCGCCAGTTTTCGATTATTAAGTATCCTGTGTTGGTGACGTCAGGGCAAATCTATTTGGAAATCTTCGTTTACTAACTGTATGGATTCGGACATAGCATCCAAGGCTTTACGATCATCAACCGACATGAGCACATGGTGATTCGGGTCGTCTTCAAAGTCCATCCTATATAACTGCTCTAGTCTAGCTTCTAGTTCAACTTTAGACGATAGGTAATTTAAGATACTCATATTTTTCGTGGTCTCATGGTAAGGTACAAACAGCACCCACCCTAAAGTCTTTGTAGAGTACAGTTCGATCATTTTCCCACTCTCTATTCTTTCGTCCCATGGCCTCACGTACATGCACCCTATCAATACATTGACAACCCTTGAGAGGGTCACACTGTGCAAGTGAGATCACGATGCCATCTGAGATGTCGTCGGTACTGTCCCACGCAATATAGGTAACCTCTCTAATATCCATACCTTTGGAATTCTGGATGATGAAGAATAATTTAAGGAGGAAGCTTCTGGTTGAACCTCTTTGCAATGAAATGTGAACTGGCTATCCAGCGTTTTCAATAAAACCGTCTCGGACCCTCCTTCTGAACCCAGCCTTCTAGCTAGATATTCTATAATGAACGAAGCGTCTAAGCCGCTATCTAGTAAAGCGCATGTCTGTACCACCCTTTTTTTATTTCTTACCATTACAGGCACTATTGCAAATGCCAGTTGTCTCCATACACGTTTAGCACTTCCCTCCCTATTGAGTCGGGTATTAATGTGGCCATTACTATTACAGTCTTTCTGCTCTTCCCACTTCATGTGTAAAAAGGTATGGTGTCTCCTTCGACAGTATATGACCTCGGTGCTTGACAGTTTCTTGGTATGTGGTTCGCCTTCAGATAGACATTACAAAACTTCGTTAGCACAAACTCTATCATATCATTAATATCTTTATCTCTAAACCATTCATATTGGTCTAAAGGGTGGTTTTCAGTACATAATAAAAATGACAACTAAAGAGTGCTTGGTCTTACGTGTGGTGTGACATCAGACCCGCACGTGTTAGCGAACGACACTCCCGCCGTATACCTTGAATCAAGGTTCCTTTTAGTAACAACAGCCGACTGCCTTTGGTTGCTATTAGAGGGATCTCCACCGACAAGTAATCAGTACTTGGTTTTAGCAATACCCGACTGCTCTCCCACAAATTCACAAAGGTCATTAGATAGAGGCTCTCTCTCTCTTCTGGTTCGAGCAATGTACAATAGTAGCATTAGCTTTACAATCTTAATACTAAACCAAATAGTTTAGCATAGTTCTACTTCAAACACTCATCGAGATTCCGTATGAAACTCCAGTAGTTCATGAGATTACCATCAAACCTCTCACTTTGGTAGGTCTAAAGATTTAGATATCATTGTTATCCAGTCCATTCCAAGAGGGACATCAACTGCAGGTAAGGAAGATGTAGATTCGTACATCACCTTGTCAGCCACAAAATATCTATGGTGTTCTCTTCCCTTGTGACGTAATCTTTCCAACCCAATTTCTCTTTGTCTGAGTTAAGCGTACTCTAATTTTAACTCTAATAAGGGATCCATTCGGTAGTCGTTTTCTTCAAACTGGTTATCAGTATGAGTTTCTGAGTAGTGGGGAGACAACTCAGTTTTATGATTCTCCGTAGACATTATTAACACTTAACGTATGAATTTCTGATGAGTTACTGGTCAAAGTATCGTAGGATTTGATTTGACCTACAGATACACTACTAGAACTGTGAACGCAATACTGGCGTCCTCAGAGTCTATGTGAAAGGTATGGTCAGAACAAGGACAACTTGGCTTTAAACTTTATCTGTTTCTAAATGTGGAAATAACAATTTGATTAGTACAATAATTAAAGTAATTATAGTCATTAACTGGAACGCACAAACATACCGACCAGTATCACCTGTTTTATCGAAATGAATAGAAATTACGAGTCACACTAATATAATAGGATAATAATCCCGTTCAATTGGCAAGTTACATGCAACAGGGATAGTCTACAAATATATCAGATCAAATCGACGTGGTGGGCGCTTAAACAACGATTTGATTGATTAGTTATGAACATAACTAACAATAATGTATGATCAGATTGTTCGGAGTTCATTGCATAAATGTATCACATCTGACAACCTTCATCTTACCATAGAATTATCTAAATCTATCAAAGAGACTGATTGTTTTAAATAGATTTTATATTAATTTGAACCAAATAACAATATAGATTAACTCTAAACATGTGTGAGAAATGGAATAAAAAATGAAATAACTTTTCTATCATTAAAATAAGCTGTTTACGCAGCGGTTTCTTTTAAGATATGTAAATATACAAAAATAATTATGTATGAAGTCAGCGATAAAAACGAGGAATATATATATATATATATATATATATATATATATATATATATATATATATATATATATGAAGATCAGATTAGGCCATCAAGAGATATATCACACCCATAATTAGCAGTAAAATTGTAATAGGCATCACAAATACAAGGTGAGATAACAAAGGTATAGGAACAATGATAGAGAAAAACTGTTGACTGTTTATATTTCTGACATTATTGCCTTTTGGACAATTGAGTATAGGATGTTTAATTTCAGTAATATATATAGAATCATCATTAGTGTTATCAGTTTTTGTTGATGGGAGACTAAAAAGTAAAGAAATAATGAAAGTCTGAGATAGATAGAACAGGAGTTAATCTAGTTATAAACGCTAAATGATTGAATATAAATGTGAAGTGATAATACAATGAGAAATCGGTTCGAAGTGAGGTCCACTTCCACCGAGGTTGAATCAGTCAAACACAATGTGTCAGCTATTAGACGACAAGCACAAACCAAAGTGTAGTAAATAAAATCTTGGATGTTTATTGGATCACATCAAGAATAATATGGATTTTGCATACACACTATAACATGTAATCGGTTTAATTAGCCTACCTTCTACAAGGATGCATAACAGAAGTGAATACTACTGAACACATGTTGGTAAATTTATGGTATCAAGCAATCACAGATATACAGTTATTTTTACTCATCATCGGACAAGACTTGATAGTCAGATCTTCATTCCACTGATATTTAAGTGATCTGTGAAGTATGTATCTACCAGTCGTTTGGGTTTTAATGATTTTTCATTTTTTGTTCAATATTTCATACATAAGTGTGAAATTTTATGGAAGAAAAACCTACTTCTCTGGTTAGCGACAATGATTCTGATATCAAATCATTTTGACGGTTTGGGTTGATAATTCGATCTCGTGAGAAATCATCGATGAATTTATTCTACTAAAAGGTATTCTATTTGTTTATTTTAATAATCGAAAACTTTTTAATCAAATGCTACAATTTTAATCCATAACAATAACGAAGTAATCGCCTATGAGCCCAAAACTTTCTATGATGCCAAGTGATATTACTAGAATTGCATAGCAGTTTAAACCTGCAACCAGATTTTACAGGGATTTGACTTATTGAAAAACCCTTATGACCAAGTAGCAACAAATTTTAAGACATCTAGTTATTATTATTATTATTATTTGAACACATAAATATTGGTACAAGAGAGCGCCAATATATATGCGCCACACAAAACAATGAGAATTCGAAGGGAAAGAAAAAAAAAGTAAGGAGCGTGAAAAAAAAGAGAACAATAACGAAGAGGTTGGTTTAAGGTAGTGTAGTAAATAACAATACTAATAATGAGGGAACGGAAAGGTACAATCAGAAGAAATCTTTCAGTTAAGGAAGACACAACAACTTTTTTTTATGAAGAAAGTAAAAGGTTACAGAAGGATCGCCACTGGCTTCTATTCTGAGCCATATCTGATAACGTCTCTAGCCACTCTGTCGCACCATCTCTCGGACACCAGCCAGGGAGTCCTGAAGGACCAACACAGGCCAGCCCTTTGCAGCTTTCTTTCATGCCACGACACCATGTCATGCACTGACCACCTATCCGCTTCTTCCAACCAGTCCCAGAGTCGGCAAATAATGCACGACGAGGAATTCTCTGGGACGACATTCGTAGAACATGTCAAAGCCACGGAAGTCGGTGTTTCAAGATGGTGACACCAATTGAATTATCATCTCTGCACCCGAGCACAAGATCCCGAACCTCTGCATTACTAACATGGTGCTGCCACTGGATGTCAGCAATCCTTCGGAGACAACGATGATCGAACACAGAGAGTCGTCTAACGTCCTCAAATCGGAGAGGTCAGGTTTCACAAGCATAGAGCAAAACTGCTCTCACCGACGCGTTGTAGATCCGACCTTTTACAGCCAGACTAACATCACGAAGGCGCCAAAGATGGCACAGATTGGCATAAGCCGCTCTGGCTTTCATTATACGTGCATTGATCTCATCACTCATGCCACCACCAGCACTTATGCAGCTACCCAGATACACGAACTTCTCGACTACTTCTATCTGCCCACCATCCAGGGTGAGTACAGGATTAGAATCCTGCCAGTCTTATAGAAGTACCTTGCACTTCGAAGGTGCAAAGCACATACCATACCTACAGACACTGATTGCCAAGTGATTAAGCGCGAATTGCATGTCTTGGGCATTATCACACAGTAAGACAATATCGTCCGCATACTCAAGGTCGAGAAGTCTTTCTCCAGGCAACAGATCCATACCACCATTACTTACATCCATCAGAGCTGTTTCCAGAATGTCGTCGATGGCAAAGTTGAAGAGGAGTGGTGAGATTGGGCAACCCTGCCTAACCCCACTGCTCGAATAGAACAATGGAGAAAGGTGGTTGTATGCCCTCACTCTGCCTGAGGTGTTTGTATATAGGGCTTTTAGGATGTTAATAAATTTCTCAGGCACACCCTTCTTCAATAGACAATCCCAGAGATTAGTCCTGTCCAACGAATCGAAGGCAGCCCTGATGTCAAGAAACACTACGATTGTTGGCCTTTGATAAGTATGGCGGTGTTCTAACATATGGCGGAGGGTGAAGATATGATCAATACATCCTCGACCAGAACGAAACCCAGCCTGCTCCTCGCGAGTCAATCTTTCTCGGGTTTTGAACAACCTACGAAGTATGACTGAAGCCAATAGCTTGGACGCCATCGGAAGTAGACTTATCCCCCGATAGTTGTTACAGGAATGACATGAACCCTTTTTAAAGATAGGGACAACTATCGACTCATTCCATGACGTTAGTACACTCACTAGCTCCCAGACCTTTGTGAACAACGTCGTCAGTTCCTTAGTCAGAAAGTCACCACCATCTTTAAAATGAGCAGGGGGTAAGTCATCTGGGCCAGGTGGTTTGTAACGCTTCAAGAGTTGGAGTTCCTTGCGGACTTCCGCCACATTTGGTGGATCAGTCGTCACCGGCCATAGAGAGCAGGACAGACTGACCGATGTTGCAGCAGGCCAGTTGAACTGCCCTTCGTCCAAGACGTCGATGGATGTTAGTGATTGGCATCCCATCATCCTCGCAGATTGTTTCGCTCACACCAGACTTCTTGCTGCCAGTGGCTCGGATGAGTTGGAAGAGCTTCCGGTAGTTACCAGATGCAGCTGCTGCTTCCAGCTCATTAGCACGCTCCGACCACCAGGCTTCTCGGTCCTTACGCAAGCTTTGCCCAATTTCCTTACATAACATCCTTCGATTGTGGTCAAACTCACGGTCAATCGGAGTAGACCGACGGGCTTCAATGAGTTGTAAGAAACTTGAAGAAACCCAGTGGTTATAAGCGAGACGTTTCGCGAACCCACAACTGACTGTACCCGCCATTTTCATGGCGTCATGCAATCGCAACCAATGCTCATCCATACTTATTGGTGGAGTGGTAGCTAGCCTAGCAGATAGCTCGGTTCGATACTTACTTGCAACAGAAGTTGCAACCAGCTTGCTAACATCAATCTCTTGGTGGCGGTCACTTCGTTGTTCACTGAAAAGTAAGGTAAGATTGGCGCAGACCAAGGCATGGTTAGAGTCCAGATAGGTACTCCAAAAGGAGCGGCAGTCTTGTACACAACCACGCCAGCGGTAGCTGATCGCGATGTGATCAATCTGAGTCCAGGCTTGGGATGCAGAGGGAGGACGCTAGGTGGCACATCGGCGATGACTGTGCCGAAAGTTAGTGCTAGCCAGAAACAGGTTGTGGTTTGTGCACAGTTGCAGTAGACGGTCCCCGTTACCTGACCTGCGACCAACAAGTCCCCATCGGCCACCTAAACGACTCTCTTTTGTGCCTAGACGCCCGACCTGAGCATTCAAGTCTCCGGCTAGTACTACAATATCTGTTGAACGTACTTTCTGGAGAAGAACAGATAAATGGTGGTAAAACTTATCCTTGATTGCATCCGGGCTGCAATCTGTCGGGGCATAGGCGGAGATGACGAAAAGACATCGTTTCTCACGCTGATTTCTTCTCACTTTGATGGAACTCTCTAATCTAACAGCACATAACCGACTGTTAATGGGGATCCAATCGATTAGTGCTGCCTCAGCTCTAGCGCTTAGTGCGACACCAACGCCAGCAAGACCAGACGAAGATGCCACGGGGTCCCCGGATAAGCCCACGTAAAACAAGCTTTTCGAAGCGACAGATGGAGATCCAACTTGTAGTACTTCACTAGAGTCTTGAATACAGGTCTCGGATAGACAACAAACGTCGATATTAAGACTTTCCAAAGACATAACCAGCCCTATCTGTTGTCCGACCTGCATAAATGTGCGAAAGTTGAAGGCAGCCAGTTTGAATGGTGCACGTGGTTTCAGAAAAACTGCTTCAGTACTCATATTCAGTGGTAACATACAATTTTCAACCGGACAGTGACTCGAGAACGTTTAGATAGAGTCGAATTTCCACCAAAGACGAGCCGCTGTATAAGTATAAAAGAGGGCGAATAATGTGGTAAATAATAATAATAATAATAATAATAATAATAATAATAATAATAATAATAATAATAATAATAATAATTTGAATCATCTGATTGTTATTCGAAGCGAGAAAAGTAGTTTCCATAGATATAGAGAGTTCATCATTTGCGTGTGGGCTGCGATACTGCCCCGGTGCCCAGACCGAAGCATGTGGTTTTCTTAGGGGGCCACACCCCGAGCCTTTGACTTAAAGGTCTAACCCACAAGGCAGTGGATCATCGTAAGGAGATGCAGTCCCATGGTAGCCGGTGACCAACGATTGGTTCCTACGCCATTTGTTCCCGCAGGACACTGGAGCCCATGTGCACCATTGGTTTGGTATCCAGTTAAAGCGCCGGACATTCGCTTTTCGTCCTCTCATTTTCGTAAACAACACCCCCGCCACGAGAAGGCAGTGAGTAAGACTTCCGTGGCAGAGGCTGTATACGCGTGGCCGTGTGAGAGTATTTCGAGAGGAAGGGCGGACTCTCCCCACTCTCGGCTGTACTAGGGAATTTGGGGAGCCAGAAAAACAGGGAACCATAAGAAGCTTGAATTGTTGGTGTATTTATAAAAGTGGCTGGACATAATCAAAAAGGAATTATGTTGTGAATGTTTGACTGAAATTTAAATGGTACAAGGCATGATTCTCAATTATTAGAAAGGATGACAATCTCAAATCTAATACTAGTGAATACTACTAAACAGCTTTACAGCGAACAGATATTTGTGAATTATTTATGTTAAATGATGGGAGGCAGTTGCAGGAAAATTTGGACCTGGGTTTTATATCGACACTTGTTGGCTAGGAGTACCTGAAATATTGATGGAATTGATACTTTTAATGGAATTCGAACACGTGTCACCTAATTCGCCAGTCTGATACATTACCATTAAGGTATTCGGGGCACGGTTGACTTAATGTAGAACAGATATTTACGAATGATTGATCATTGAATAATGACTTATGCTGTGTTTGTCTAGTCAGTTCGTCCCGATAGGACTCAATTGATGAAGTTTCATTGTGTCCACTAGTTTAAATGAGTCGACATCATATGTCTTGTGTTGAGATGTTAAATGGTTGAAAATAATCGATAAAGTTTATTGCCGAACATAACATGTACTCAGAACTCATTTAACAAATGAATACATAAATAAAACATACTGATATCGTAGATGAATAGGTAAATCTAAATAACTAATTGATTGATTTATCTCCAGTTGATTAATATTAAATTTGAATGTTAATGGTTTAGCAAGCCATTCTGGAGCTTCAATATCAACCAAATTATTCTGAATAATTAATTGTTTACTTTCATCGGAATGATCGGTATTTTTCTTTTCCAACTTAGAATATGTAAACCAATTTACAAATTGTTTAATGGTATCATGTAATTTTGGTTGTATTTCTGACTGACTAATTGAAAATTTTAAGTTCGGTTGACTAGAAGTTAATTCATATGGATCAATGAAAAAACCTGAAAATGAGTTAGAAAATATCAGTTACTTTATATTAAACAGTGAATGAAAAGGAATATAATACAATGAAACTGGGAAGCGAATGACCTAAAAGCAGAGAAAAGTTGTCCATTTTGGTGGAGTTTTGTTCTCTGAGTTTGGTGATTTGGTCGTGGAGCTTCCATCGTTCTTCTGAATGACATCATCAGCACAAATAAGAACTGTCTCTTGTAAATCTAGCCGATTGTAATCTTGTTCTATTAATGGGAGACAAGTTATCTAAAAGATATATACTAGGAAATCGGACGACTTTGAGATGGTGGAGAAGATTTGTAGCTGAGATGGATGATTTTGATGGACTTTTGTTCTCTGAGGTGGATGGTTTGGTCGTGGAGCTTTTGTCGTTCTTCTGAACGACATCATCAGCACAAACTTCAGGTAGAAGTGAAGTATTCAAATCTGTTCACATGTGGTCCACAGCTCGTTCTGAACACCTCGATGTTGATTGGTTCTTGTTCACCTCAAACCTATCATTGGGAGATACAACCAAAATAAAAAAGTAAACAATGACAGGTTAAAGGTCAACAAGGACCAATCAACATCGAGGTGTTCAGAACGAGCTGTGAACCATATGTGAACAAATTTGAATACTTCACTTCTACCTGAAGTTTGTGCTGATGATGTCGTTCAGAAGAACGACAAAAGCTCCACGACCAAACCATCCACCTCAGAGAACAAAACTCCATCAAAATCATCCATCTCAGCTACAAATCTTCTCCACCATCTCAAAGTCGTCCGATTTCCTAGTATATATCTTTTAGATAACTGGTCTCTCATTAATAGAACAAGATTACAATCGGCTAGATTTACAACACAGTTCTTATTCGCATATTTATTATTTAAACATATGAACATTGATACGAGGCATTAAATCGATATGCGCCACATAATTCATTCGATTTGTGTGAGGGCTGGTATACTGCCCGGGTGCTCAAACCGAATCAGGTGGTTTTCTCAGGAGGCCACATCCGAAGCCTTCGACCTAAAGGTCTGATCCACAAGGCAGTGAAACAACGTTAGGAAATGCAGTCCCATGGTATCCGGTGACCAACGATTGGTTTATACGCAATCTAACACTGATTTTAATTGAGTTACTCATTTATTCTATTGTCGATTATTGTACGAAGAGTAACAATTTGAAAATTCGCTACACTTTTTATTTGAAAAATAACATTATTAATAAGAGTATATAACATAAAATGCAAAATTATAAAATACCTGATGGTAAATGTACATGAAGTTGACAATGCTCCAGTAAACTAATTGAAAAATCATGGAAATCACAGTGCAATCGAAGATGAAAACCGCGTTGAGTCATATTACAACTAAAATAAGGTTGTATAGTATTAACCGAATTATTTAATGTAATGGTAGTAGTACTAGCAGTAGTAGTAGTAGTAGTAGTAGTAATATCAGCGTAGGCAAATGACAGAATTGAAACTATACACAGTATTAACATTCGAATAACCATTGCCTAATTCAAATAAATTACAAATGAAAAATAAAGGTATATAAATATATAATATCCTGAAAGTTACTTTAGATTACACGTCAGTTTACAAGACTGACAGCGGTTAAATCAAATTTGCTACGTAATAATAGTAAAAATAAAAATTACTATTCACTGACTGAATAAGTATGAATTACAAATAAATCCTTACAGGACAATTTTATATTATTGAATATTCAACAATAAGTGTGATGAGAGGTGTAAAAGTCTGGGTTAAGTAGTTGGTTTTACAAATATATATTAGAGGTGAAGCATCATAAATTCAGTATATAGTAATCACAAATTCCTCTATGTAGCACATACTTCAAGTCATATTTACTATACAGTGAGCTTATGATACCGTTGGTATTGGGTAATATGATGGATGTTTTGACTTTGCTTGGACATGTTACTTATTTCACCAGAGTTTAAAAAGGACTTTTAATATCTCCCCCAGAAAACAGCTATATAACCACAATTACGACACTATGTAATAGATATAGCTGTGTATACATATTTCCCATTGTAATGATGTCTTCGTAGGAAAAGTGACGAGTAGGATCATCGATAAACATTTATTTTAAAGCGTTAATGTGAATGCCAACCTTAAAATAACAACTTTGATATAAATGTAAAGTACTTGAATGTTTATTGACTCATAGGTTTCTATTTAACTGCATGAGCTTCCATCATCCATAAGATGACGTATTAGCTTAAGGTTCAACTAAAAATTTGACGTTTCACACCACAGACTGACTTTGGTGAGTGTATTATTCAAAACCAGGAAATAATGGACAAAGACCTTCATCCTAGTATGGGATTTACTGGCAGTGAAAATCCACAACCACACCAATATTGAATATTAACTGAAATTAGAAATGTAAATTGTCCGAAGTCAACTTTGTGAAATAAAATCGAAGAGCTCACAGGGATATCGGAATGTTCAGAGTTCGATTCCTGGGGGGTCATAAATATGCACTGATGAGAGTCACATGCTAGAATGGAACAGCTGTTGAGTTCCTCCTAGCTTTCAACGGTTGTCAAACTAAAACTGGTTCGCAATGCAAACCATGAAATTCAACAGTCAAGTATTATTCATCGGATTTAGTGAGATTTTTATGCACTTATCGTTTACTATGATGTACATAGTTATCAAAGTATCCTAATGGTGAAAAAATAGTTTTAAATTGGAATTGTTTCATTTCGGATTTCAATTTGTTAAAAAATGAACGACTAACTGATTTAACACTAATAAATTGTAAAATAACGACAATAAGCATGTCGGCTTCTGAGACCACATACTTTCAGAATGATTGCATGTTTTTGGACAACTTTATAAATCCATCCGGATGTTAATTAAGAAACTAATTTAAATAGGAAGGAATTCGAATTATATAATAGCTAACTTAATAAATATCTATGTAAAACAAGGTTAGAATGAGTATTACCAACATTAATAATCCATAACATGATATCAGTTTATTTACGACACATTTACATGCTAAGTTCTGAGTAACCCCGGTTAAAGGTAACTCTGAGAAGAGTCGCCATTTAAGCAACCCGTATGAGCTTAAAAAAAAATTAAAACCTAAATATCTAGATATCAAATAGTGTAAGTGGTTTATCAATTACAGGTTTATTCACTCGGGTTCGAGGTATACTTTTTGTATGAAGGTTAGTAACACTGACTGCGAAAGCTGATTGAATAACGTAGAGTGGGATTTCAGACAAGCAGTCATGTCGTTTGAAAGCTCTAACCGTTAAGTCATTGCTTCAGACAACGGGATATAAAATACACGAATGGGCAGTACTGAAATAATACATGCGATAGTAATATTCTGAAAAGAAAATAACTAAGTATTATAGAAACGACATCCTGTCATTATTTATAACCAATAATGCTCCAGACATGTTAACAAAAGTGGTTGCTATTATATCCGAGTTCTCCGAGAGAGAAATATTACACTGGATCTCTAAAAAATCCAAATCAGGTGGATAATAGTTCTTTCACATGGGACTTTTAACCTACACCAACCGGAGTGACTACAATACGAATTACACAAATTGCCGCTCTCTAAACATGTGAAATAAACTGGTTTCGGAACAACTCAGTAGATGATCAAAGATAAATAAGAACATCTATCCAAATTAGAATGAATGGTTTTACAGTAGTTTCGCGCTGAATACTTAGAAAACTGAAACCGATATTTAGCACGGCGATCTTGAGGGAGACGATCAAAATTATCGAATATGAATAGTGTTACAAAATAACCGTTTACTAAACTGTCTAATCATGTTAAAATATTGAATACGAATTTTTAAAGCATTAATATATAAATCATTTGGTGTGTAAATGTGTCCAAATTGTAGTCAGTGAAGAAGTTTCGATATATCACATTAAGTGAAATAATATTTAATGAAACATCAATCAAGATGACATCACATTCGATCAGTAGTTGTAGTCTGATGTGGATCTGGAAACTTTGAAATGAGTAACATGGGAATACACTGAAAATTGATGTTTACTAATGAAAGTGATCTGCACATAGACAACTGAGCCGATTATAGATTATATTACGCTAGTGGGATATGTGAATTTAAAGATTTGTATACATAAGAGTTCATCAAAACTTACTAAATGGAAGACTAACCAATAACAAATTGATCCAACCTAAGAATACGTCCAGCATTTTTACAATCATAATTTATTTGAACACAACACATTTTAAGTGTTAGGAGTAAACTAAGCATTGAAATGGTGAGGTGGATTTTACTTTGAAGCAGTGACTTCGACTGAACAAAGGTTTAAGCAATCTAGTAGTCATTTCCTTTAAAATATCTGCTATATTCTAGCAATTTTATCAAGAAGACAATGTTAAGAAAACATGCATATCAGTTCTGATAAGGAAAAAGAGCTACTTAATTTTTTTTAAAAATCAGTTAAGTTAGATGTTAGGAGTTCAGGAATCGACATCTGAATAATGTTTATTCTTTTTAATTCATATCGCCAGTGTGAGGATAGCCCATGGGTGAACTCTAGGAAGCTCCAAGGAGCTCAGAAAGAGCTGAAGATATTCCAACCGATCATCTTTTGGAGGGACATTTCAGAATCTCGACGTGTAGCTTCCCTGTTGGACAAATGCTAATAACCCCCTGTATACGGATTGGGGGACTATAGTGACGATTTCGTTATTACTAAAAACTATAAATACCTGAGTTTTGTACCATAATTGACACTGATTGGAATAGCATTCCTTTCACTTATCTTCTGTCTTCTCATTTGCAACCCGCGGGGTTCTAGAGTTCGAGTGCTCATTTTGTACGTGGTATAATAAGAAACTAAGTTTTAGATATAACAACTAGCGACGGGGTTAACTTATCAAGATGTCATTTACCTTTGACTAATTCGAAGCCTTGCTAGAGCGTCAAGAAAAACGTTTCGAACAGTTCTAAATTCGTATTCTAGAAGCTCTAACTCAGCAAATGAACCTAAATCAAAAGGGGTTTACAGATGGTCCGTTCAAATCCCATGTCGACCATATCGTTAATTCTATCCACGAGTTTCATTTTGATGGTTTGGCTGGCGTTAATTTGAATCGTGGTTCAAGAAATACAAAGATGTATCCAAGGTCGACCTAGGAAAACTTGATGATACCGCAAAGGTCAGAGTATTGCTACCTCACCCTAAGAATTCCAGAGACCTTTCATTTGATACAACAGTTGTAACTTTGTCGCAAATCTTTGGTGAACATTTATCTTTGTTTAGTATTTGTTACCAATGTCTTAATTTGGCGAAAGCTGGAGACAATGACTGGATGCAACACGCTGGCATAGTAAACCGCGAGTGTGAGCCTTTCAGATTATCATCAATGACAGAAAACCAGTTTAAGTGTCTTTTTTTCGTATGCAGCTTGCAGTCACCTGAAGATGCCAACATCAAGCCTAAAATTCCGAGTAAGATTGAAGTGTTTAAATATAACGCTACAAGAAGTGACTAGTGAATGTCAGAGGTTGGTGAACTTAAAACATGACACATATGGTTGAAAACAGTGTTTCTAATTGCATTTTTTTGTAACTTATAAAGCGAAATGTCGTAAACATTTCATAAACACGCCTGAATAGGTTATGCGATTGATAGACATAATGATGTGTTAAAACAAAAACAGATAACTTGTTAAAATATCTAGATGTCAGGAATAGGTAGGTCGTCAATGTCTAGATCCATTTCCGATGATTATGTTACTTATGCCCGTGGAGAAGACTTGTAGCTGAGATGGATGATTTTGATGGAGTTTTGTTCTCTGAGGTGGATGGTTTGGTCGTGGAGCTTTTGTCGTTCTTCTGAACGACATCATCAGCACAAACTTCAGGTAGAAGTGAAGTATTCAAATTTGTTCACATATGGTTCACAGCTCGTTCTGAACACCTCGATGTTGATTGGTCCTTGTTGACCTTTAACCTGTCATTGTTTACTTTTTTATTTTGGTTGTATCTCCCAATGATAGGTTTGAGGTGAACAAGAACCAATCAACATCGAGGTGTTCAGAACGAGCTGTGGACCACATGTGAACAAATTTGAATACTTCACTTCTACCTGAAGTTTGTGCTGATGATGTCGTTCAGAAGAACGATGAAAGCTTAATCAAAAACTTATGCCCGTGAATTCAACCGAGATTGTGACTTGCAAAGATTATCTAATGCATTTCGTAATAACTGTTTTATTCCTGAGGTGCTTGAATCAATTTCTAAAACACCTTTTCAACTACATTTATAAATTTATTATTTTGAATACATTATTTGTTTAGGGTAGATGATTTGTGATACACAAAATTGAAGTTTAATCAAACAATTCGCTTAATGTATATATCAAGGCGATTGAGTTTATAAATCATGATTAGTTCAATTAAATTTACAAGTCCATATACAGTAAGATTTGACAGCATATTTAGTCTACTTAACATAATGTAAATGGTTTCGTGTCAGAAAAATCATTCCCTAGTTCATGTGTTATATGGATTGGAATGTAAATCATCTTAAAATAACCAAAGATGACTGTTGAAATACAACCATCCTATATCAAATTATACAAATATAAGGAAGCAAGAATAAAGAAGTATTTCAAAATTTACCAAGTAAACAAACAAAACTCAGACTATTGACATACATGCACACATTAAACTCTTTTTAGTACACCGAAATATCTCAGTAACATGAAGTTAAAACTCAATGTTCACTTCTTAACAAATAATTTATTTGTTTACAAAATCTATTTGGGGTTACTATACAGGTAATGCCTATATACATGTAAAGTCATGTTGGTAATAATATACAGAAAAATTATGTTGTTTAATTTTAACTCAGCATTTCATTTGTACTTTTTTTACGTTTACTCTTCGGCTTCTTAATGTTTTGCATTGATTCTTCCGAAACAATTTTGTTATTATTCACTTGCTTCGAAAAATCATTGGGGCATTTTTTATCTGAAATCTTTAAAATAATTGAAAATACATTACACTAAGTTGAACTATTATTACCAAAATCGGATAATAATAGTGTTAAAAAACCTCATACAAAATTTGTTTCATAGGAGATCCTCTTTCGAATAAGTATTTAATTTGGACGAGAAGAGTAGTGATACAGTGAGTCAATCAGAAACCGCCAAACGATGTCTATGTGATTGGTCAAGAAATGTCTTTCTTTGCCAACGGATAAGATATAAACCATTGATAAGCTTGATTGTCTAAGAGACAAATACAAACATATAGATGAGTCCATGTACAATCGGTTCTGTTTAGTCAAATAAGCTTTCTTCTTCACCCTCCGTCTCTTTTTCTTGAGTAGGAAGGCTCTTGTACAGAAAACGTGCATCAATACCAAGCCTTAGATATTGTGAGCCACAACAAATAGGAATCTATACTTCATGAGGTTTTACGGAAGAGGGGTGTTAAGAATGACTTGATATCCCCAAAACTGCTTGTGTTAGTAAGTACATTATTAGTTTCAGAAGTTTCAAGGTTACGTTTCAGTACTGCGATCAAAAATGCTTTTTTGCCTACTAGTTCGTACCTCTCTTAATATACTATCCTTAGCCTTACTTCCGAAGGCATCGCAAATATGTGGGAACATATTGACTTTATAATGAAGGATGTTGAATAAACCGTTTTATTTAGTATATTTTACTTAGGCTAACTCAGTTTAGGAGACGGCGGTATAAAAATAGCTAAATACGAACCAAGTTGTAGAAAATTATTCCGATCATTCCTTTACTCAGACCGTAAGAAGCGCAACATAGGGTAAGGTTTCTTAGATTACTCAAACGTGACTCAGCATCTATAGGCATGAAAGATGCAAACAAAAATAAGACATATACATACGATTATAAGCATGTATCAAGATCACATGTATAAATGATGAAATAAGTGTAGGTTCAGACCAATTCAGCTGTCCACAAGTTAAGATAAATCGCGTAAGCTTGTCATAATAAAGACCTACTACAAGTGTATTTATTTATGAACAATAGTTGTTAGCCTGGTCAATTTTGTTTATATCATAAACAGGCGTTTTATTTACAATTCGACTTTTTAATTAATTGAGGTGGGTGGGCAAAGAAAAAGATGCATTTGTTATTTCAAGAACTCGTAGCTAAGCTGATCTCACTGTATTGTGAAGCTATATCATGAAGGTAAGTCAACTAATGAATTGATGACCATGCACTGACAATCACTGATCATATATATATATTGTGCATTGCATTTTACAATTTGCTTTTATGCATTTTTATGCCTATAATTTAATCAAACCGAACTGTATTTTTTAAAAAATGATTTCGAAAAACAAACAAACTTAAAATTCAATATTAGTCTTACCTTTATGTTCATTTCATAGTTCCTTAATGCAACCTGATACTCTGCATTGAAATGTGACCATTTACTTTGATGAAATTGTAATTGTTTAATTTTTTTTCTACCAGCACGCTTGAGATCTTTCTTAAAGTGATAGAACTAATAACAATGGCAACAATCAATAAAAATTGGGAAAAAGGGAATTTAACAAGAATAAAAAAGGAAGAAAACGAACATAAAATTGATTGGTCACTACTCACGAACAGTCAGTTGTATATATCTTAGTCTTATAGGAAATTAGTGGAAGCCCGAATAGCTCGGTGATAAAATCTTAAAGTGTGGGGCTGGGTAATGCAAGTTCGAATTTCAGAAGAAGCGACGATTTCGATAAGATTGCTGGTACTCCTTGCTGACGAGTATCAATTGGCACGAAGCCTAGGTCCAAGGTTTCTGGTATAACGGATGATTTAAAATTTTTCTCTTTCTGTAGCATAATACGCTACGCTAAATCAGATAAACGGTGCACAATACAGCGACTAGATCACTTGATATCAGATACATGAACAAGAATAGAGAACTAAGGTAAACGCTCATTCAACAAGCAATGTAATGTAAAACATTGCCCCGAAACAGATGTATTTCACTCTGATGAAACATAATCTACTATGTAGGTACAATATACGAAGTTGGCATTCAGTAAAAGACCTATAGATATTCAGAACACTTAAGGAAAAAAATTAATTTGCTTACCTGGTTAGTTGACAATAAACTGTATGCAGTTCCTTTCTTACCAGCTCTAGCTGTACGCCCAATTCGATGAATGTAGATTTTGATACTAGGTGGTACGTCATAAGATACGACACATTCCACATCATTAATATCTATGCCGCGAGCCATAGAATCTGTGCAAACTAGAATCTGTAAATATTTTGAATTTCTTACGATAAAAATGGAATACTTAATAAAACAAAATGTAAATTCTTATATCAAATTTTTTAAATATGTAAATTATTTACAAATTCTTTACTCAGGTTGGACTGTTTATTTACCCTAAAGTTTTGTTTATAAAGTATTTTATTGTCTAACTATATAAAGTTTATCCTATTTCACTGACAGTTTTTCAAACAAAAAATAATCAAACTTACCCCACCCGAACTATCTAAATAGTATGTCATTATACCAAACATGACAAACTGTAGGTAAAGTGTATTTACTACCCCATGAGGAATCGAACCCAGGACCTTCACGTCTAAACTTAACCCATATATATATGCATCACACAATAAGAACATGAGATCATGAACAAGTAGAGAAAGGATGGCAAGTATGATTTTCTTAAAAATGGAAATGAATAGAAATTAATGTATGAGGGTAGGGTTTATATCCCGCAAAATAACAAACAAAGTAAACTTCTTTCTATGTATTATCTTGTAAAAATAAGAACTTAGTATTTATTCTCCCATAAAATATCTTTAATCGATCTCATTAGTTCCCTGACGATTAGATGACGTTTAAGTTTGTCAACATATGATTCCAATCCCAATGACTATGTACACAGTTACTGTCCCGTCATATTAATCTTTTTTTCCGGGTATGATAAAGTTTTGATCAAAAAGTATTTCTATTTCCAGATTATGTGTGGATATGGTGAAGAGAAGAAATTAAGATATTAAATTGATGTTCATACTGGAGTTTCTAAAGCGAAATTGCAGTATGCGACTAGTTAAGTCCAGAACACCAGTCTCAGTCTCTGCGATATGAATCATTATATTTCAAACATACTGAGTTTATACACCAATCAAACGGACCACAACGTATCAATAAAATATAAAATAACATTTGTACAAGAATTAGCCAGATGTGGGTGCGAATGAGTGGGGTAGTAATTAATATACTGGGTATAACTCAAGAATGGTAAAACGTATAATAATAGCTTATGGGTCAAAATAAAGCTTATAATAAAAGGAATATGAATATACATAGTTTAGTTACTTAATAATTATACAATAGAAATATACGTTTAGTATTGGTCCATAATGGATCCCAAAAGTTACTATTCATTATTCTTGTCGGGACATAACCCACCTCCCCTTTTTCGAAAATCCGGAGTTGATATCCTCATTTTAAACACGTAGTGCTCTCCACAAGAACTACTCAACCAACACAGCAGAGATCGGACTGACCACCCATTCTGCATAAGTCAGGTGAAGATCAAGCTAATTACCCATTCTATCTTAATCTTGATTACATGAGAAGAGAGATAGACTTGAATTGACAATGTGATTGTGGCGCTAGAGAAAACTTCGTTTTGGTGCCTGAACAGACTCGTCTGGAAGGGCGGGCCAGAGAGTAGACAAAAAACTGTGCTGTAACCAGTGCACATGGTTATACACTAAGCCTGCTTGTGACAAGCATGAAGTGAGCATATCATTTATGAATACTTGATATGTATTCAGTTAAAAATGCAATGGGGCTACGGCCTGGGGTGATTGCATATATGTACTCTATGAAGTATATAAGCCTTGGCTTAGGTATTCTGTATGTGCATATATCGTATACTAGCGATCTGAAACGTCTATGTCTATATTCATTTGTGGAATGAGTGATTATTTATTTATTTATTTATTTGAACACATAAATATTGGTACAAGAGAGAATGAGTGAACTTATTTATGCATTCTACGGTTGCATATAGTGTATACTAACGACAGCGTCCATCTATGCGTATATGCATATCACTGGAATGTATATATTTCTGATATCTGCATTTGAATATTGCATATACAGCATACTTGGGGAAAGTTCTACGCTTCTACACCAGTGAACTTATTAATAACTCATCAGAGCTTTTAGTTGGCATAAAAGCTTGAGAAAGTGTAGTGTAGGCTAAAATTATTACATCTGCACTACATAGTATGGGACAAGTTATTTTCCACCGCTACTGATATCATAATCCCTATATACACATTTTCTCCAGTGTTCAGTCGTATTGTCTTTTCAAAGTTCTTCCCTCACTGAAGAGCTATGGGGTTGGGTGGGAATAACAATAACGAAAAGTAACAATTTTGTACAAAAATTTACACAATTAAATACATTACAGTAGGTATTAGTAGTGACAAAAAGTTCAAATGTAGAGCCTGGTAATAAATTTGCCACAAAGAAAACAATTACCAATAGCTATTACATCACTTACTTGACACAATCCAACACTGAATAGATTTAATATTCTTTGACGTTTATCCGGATGTAAATGACTTGACAAGAATTTACTCTTTATACCTTGAAAGCTAGCCAAGAGCATATTTAAGCGTTTAGCACAATCTACTGTATTTGCAAAGCATAAGATACGTTTTTTGTGTTTTTGACGCACCAAATACACAAGAAACAATACACGGATATCCGGTTTTGCAGTTACAAGAAATTCCTTTAGTTTAAAATAAACAAGCAATGAAAATCAGGTATCTTTTTAGTTTTATACGTTTAATTTCAACGATCAAAACTTGAGAAATGTTTTGAAAATGTATACGGTCAAACAATTGTATCATAATTTCATCAGTAGGGAATAAATCTCAGAGTTAAACAAAATTAAACCTTGGCCATCGGTTTCCTTATAGACGTTCGAGAAGAGGTAAAGCATAAGATCATGATTTACGTTCAACTGACTTTTACTAAGTATAAAATTAAACTATACGAATTGTGTGATTATTACTTTAACTAATAATGTATATAATAGAATGAATTCAAAGCGAATTAATCTTTTTTAGTCCCTACTGAACAAATCTTCCTTACAAATCTCGTCTTTTGGAGTAGCTGGGGGTATGAGAGAAAAAAGCTGTGAAATCATGGTATCGAACTGTAGTTAAGTGTTATCACAATTATCGTATTAATATTATCAGAATAAGTAACCATTTATGCAAACTTGTTTTAAGCAGTTCAAGCCAACAGTTAACAACTTCCTGAACTGATAGTATAGGTTTGGTCTGGTCACCTCTGGTCTTCTTTAAATCCGCCATAAAATTACCTACCACAAGTCCTAACCAACTCCGCAGATGAATGTTTAACTAATTTACTACTTGGTAGTTTTATCAGACACGGAAAATACATCGAAGAGCTCAATGAGTAAATACTAACAGCTGACATATTTTCAATATTTTTTGTTGTGCTCCACATCTATTATGTAAGATATGCTGAATTTTTGTACAGTATGAACATCATTTGATGATTATAAAACGGGTATACCTTATCACCAACATATGTTGTATCCATTACCAAAAACTGACTTCAGTTTTCATATCCGTGTCCAGAATGTTATTCTGTCTTTATACGGAGTGCAAATGTTCAAATGTAACCCACCATACAACATTTAATCAGATCCATCTTATTCAAAAATGGTGTGCACTTCGACAAAGCCACGTAACTATTGAGTAATTAGTTAAAACTCAAAATATTTGAATCTATCTTTTAGATTCTCTACATATAAATATCTTTGACAGTGTAAGAAATCATATTTCACTAAATAGTTATTCCTGATTTTTATAGAATACAGTTAAACTACAAGTGAAAAATGAATAAATCTACCTTCAGAAGAAAATGATTGTAAAGATTACCTCTAAACTTTCAGGGATTAAAAACTGACCAACACCTGTAGTCGTATGATTTTCACTTGATTTTAACTGTGAAATAACATTAGAGGTTTCTCTATTTTCATCATTTTTCACTTGTTTTTTTATTTCGGACGAATTAGTTTCTGCGTTCTCGTGGCCATTTAAAACTGTATCAAGAGTGTTTTTGTTGTGGTGTATTCGATTTGAAGTGAATAAAATAGGAAAGTGTAAATTAAACTGTTTTAATGGTTCTGGATCATGAGTCAGTGTGGCAGAAACAAGTATCTGAAGTTACACCAAAAAAAGGGAAAACAGAGAGGTGGGATAAAATGCGAAAAATGATATTGAATTATTCATATCGAGTGGGAAAAAAGAATGCTTTACTGTTTTCCCTAAGTAATTTTATTTGCTGTGTGTAAATTATACTACTTGTTTCATCACTCAATTTGTATACATTAATGTGCTGTATTTGTAAACTATTTACCTTATGAGTGGTTGTTTTGACCCATCTGTTAGTGAATCAAACTAATAAGATTTAATCTTTTAATCGGTCAGTCATAAGCAACGCGAAACGCGACAAGGCGGTTCAAGTTACCAAACCATATATCAAAACAGTGAGATGAAGTATTCATGACAAATTCCAGAGTAGAATCAGTAAAAGTATAAGTGGTAGTAGGAAAGTTTCGCGGGAAAAGTATAAGATACACTTAATACATAAGACCTAAGAAATGAAAAAGACTTCTTATTGTTCTAAATATATTCATAAAACTGAATTTTTAAGTTTTTGGAATGTAATTTTTTGGCTCTTAAAGTTCCATTCATAGAATTATGAAATTGCTCTAATTGGAATCTGAGGTTTATGCGAGTCACATTCATTTGAACTTGATCTCAGTGAATGCACTTTAAAGCTACGAATAAGTAAGCAAAAATGAAAAGAAATACCTATTTGAATAGGAAATGATGCCTGAAGCTAAAAGAAGTACAATTAACTCAATAGTCTGTATGTTATAATGTCAGTGTTTCCTTACCAGAGATATCTATTAATTCTGCTACAATTTCACTTTAATGTTGAAGTATTTCGCTCAAATTTCGTACAAGAAAAGAGATTTTATAATAGTACCTCTAAATCTCAGATTTCATGGCCATGACCAATCATTCAACGTTACATAAAACAAGTGATGAATACGGTTGAAGGTGCGGAGAGTCAGCTCCCCCTCTCCAAATGCTCTCACACGGCCACGTGTATACAGCCACTACCAGGGAAGTCCTACTCACTGCCTTCTCGTGACGAGAGGTGTTGTTTACCAAACTGACAGGACGAAAAGCGAATGTCCGGCGCATTAACCAGGTTGGTGGATATACCTAGGGGAGTTAGAAAACTCTGATGCCAAACCAATAGTGCTTATGAGCTCTAGGATCTTGAGGGAACGATTGGCATATGAACCTATTGTTGGTCATCAGCTACCATGGAACTACGTTTCCTGACGTTGCTCCACTGCTTTGTGGATTAGACCTTTAAGTCGAAGGATCGAGGAGTGATCCATAAGTAAACAACTGGATTCAGTCTGGAGGCTTATGCAGTATCAAAGTCCTCACATAAGTCGAATGATTTGTGTGGCGCATATATATATATATATATATATATATATACTTTTATTAGTAACTGACTACCAAGAAGTAAATCTTCGAAAATCTCGCCAGGAGTTAATTACGAATTTAAAAAGTGACATAAATAATCACTAAGGTTAATCAAGTATGTCCTACCACATAATATCATTTGCTAAATAACGTCAGCAAACTGTGTTCGTAAGCTAAGTATAAACTACTTACTGTGGGATTTTAATCATAATTTAATCTAAGGCAAAATACAAAATGGTCCACACAGTGACCATCAGCACATTGAGACACAGATCCATATCAGTAAAATGTTTTTTTAAAATGAGAAAACATGGTGAAACTATGTAATTATTACAAATGTAATGAGTATAAGAGCAAGTTCATATCATAATAAAACCATTAACCTTTTGCAAAGTAATATCAACACTCCTATCGTAATGATAACCAACAGTTGGTATAGGTCTTGAACGTTTGCGTACAGAGACATTGGACCAACTATTCTGACTGATTGAAGATGTGTAATAGTACAATACATCCTCCAAAGTATGGTACCAGTTTTGTTTTTCTTCCACTATCACTCGATCGGCTTCATCGATTACCTAACACACAATATAGTAAACAGATATTAAATAAAATACCACCATAAGACCTCATAGTTAATTGTAAATCAATCCTGATCAATATGTGCACAATCTAACACAATAATATATCCGTTGAAGCTTCTGCATGTGAGTAATATAAGACAAAAAATAACATAAACGATCTCATACGACGAACAAATACGTCTAGAATAATAATTTATTCAGGGTTTAGCGGGTGAAATTGTAAAATACCAGTTTTATGCTAGTAGCACTGATTTCAATCCACATTCGAATAAATTACTGGTAAGTTCTTTCACATTTTAATAGTTATATAGGAACTTCTTGTACGAAAATCATTTTGATAATTTTAAAAAATGAAGTCATGGCTTTTTAAGGTGGCATTTGCCTTTTCACCACCCAGTCCAGGGGTTAACATTTAAATCTACAAACATTGATTTAACAAGTGCAGCAGTGCTAAGAGTTATAAATACTTTATAAGCAATTCAACAGTAGATGTAAATGTACAGAGTTACGCTTAAGGTCAATAGTACTAATGGCTGCCCACAATTTAATATGTGGAATGTGGTTCCAATATTTGCTACTGAACAAGCAGGAAAATGAAAATACAATAACAGGTAGATTAACGAGTCAATTCAAACGTACCAGGATTCTCAAGCGTTCCATACTGAAACCAGGAGTATTGTACAAATGGTCTACTAAACGTCCAGGTGTAGCTATTACAATATCAACTTTGGCAGAGTAACTTTCATCCGTACTGAAATTGGTATTCAATCTAATAATTACAAAGCTTACAGGTTTATGATATCTTCTTGTTCTTTACTAAAACTTTTGATACCAGCAAGAACTCCAACCTATACATTCATTCAAAATATAAAATACATTTCAAACCTGAATATCTGTTCCATTAACCAGCTGACTGAAAGTTTTGTACACTTGAACAGCTAAGTCTCTGACTGGAACAATGACCAAAGCTCGAATAAATCTATGAATCCTATTAAGAAATAGCTTATTTAAGTGAAAATACGAAAATGACAAATGGTACTTGGATGATTGGCACAGCATAGGCTAGTGTTTTCCCACTTCCTGTCGGTGCGCATATACATATGTCTCTTGGTCGACATAATGGCCGATGTTTAGATGTGACATAACAATCTAACATGTAAGGGATTACAGCAGACTGAACTATAATCGCCAGCTGATGATTAGAAAGTTAGCTAAGTACCAGGAAAGAAATGAGTGATACCAATTTCACTTAGTCGCAGCCGTAAAAACTGACCAAGCTTAGCTACTTCATTGACAGAAAGAGATTGTTTAAGATCAGATGAGAAAAGTTCAGGCTTTGTAATCCAAAATGGGAGAACTTCTTGGACCTATCGGATAAACATCAAAATTAATATATTCAGTTCACCTACATTTTGTACTTTTGATTTTGTTTTCTCATTTATAACTGTAAACCCTCCAATAACACTATCTTTTGTTGCAGTATCACGATTCATAATCGGGAAACTGTAAAACTATTGATGCAATCCCGTGTCGACATAGACAATCCAGCTAAAATACAAAGTTACGTGTAAATCATAAAGTTTATTCGTTAAGAACAACAAACATATTCAAATAGTGACCAAATTTTTCAATGTGAAAAATTAATAACGCAATACGCTCCAACCAGGTTGAGAAGATGAACTTCAGGTTGATTAGTATGTTTCAGCAATCATCACAAAGTGATCGGTGAGTCTGTTATAGTTGACCTTGTCAACGTTATATTATCGTAATCGATCAAATCGATTTATATAAATATCCCAGGCACTGTGGGAGGCAGGGAAAACCATTCAAATATCATTGGAAATGAGAGTATAACCTCAATACGCTTGAAATTATGAAAACTGATTGCACACAAGCTGGGTAGAAAATACTAGTCTCCGGTAAGATGTCGTATTTCGGTAGTGACGAAGAAAGTGCCCCATATATGAGTTGAGATGATGCTGTCCAAAGCACGAAAGTATTTACAGGATTAGAAACGCGTAGATGAAGGATCATTAAACCAACATTCAAAGCAAACGAGAACATTACAATGAAAGTCATCCGGTGTTACGCACCAACCAATTGTATCAGTGATGATGACAAAGATTACTTTTATGAGGCTGTAGTTCAGTGTAGAAAAATACCCAAGAAAGGGATATGACCTTCCTGATGAGAGACCTAGACTCTAAGGTCGGAATGGGCAACATCGAGTGTGAAGATGTTATGGGACGACATAGACTAGGAGAAAGAAACGAGAATGACGCAAGACTGGTAAGTTTATGTAACCCCAACAGCATGCTCACAGGTGGCACCATGTCCCACGCATAAAGCTAAATGGGTTTTATTGGAACACACTAGAGAAAACAAGATCAAAATCTCCATCAATAAAAAATCCAGAAGGTCCGTGGAAAACGTAAGGACAAAGAGAAGCTAATTTAGTCTCAGATCACGAACCGATGATGTCCAAACAAAAGAAGCGTTAGAAAATTGGACCAGCAACACCCCAAGCCTTACAAGATTTAGTATAAGAGAAAAACACTATAACGAACAAGGATCAATGACGTCAACACGTCAGAATGTGCTCGACCACAAGAAGCACTAACACAAGGAGTAAATCTCTATCAATACACTAGATAAGACTCGAAATTTTCTCATTTATTTAAATATAAACATTGGTACGAGGCATCAAATATATATGCGCCACACAAATTATTTGATTTTTGTGAGAGGTGGTCAGTCAGTCAGTCAGTCAGTCAGTAACAACGTAGAACTTCGTACGTACGTACATCAGTTCGAGTTGCCACACTACATTAGCATAGAGATGCAGTGGTCGATTCAAATCCCGTAGTGGTAGAGGTAATAAGAGTATAAGCAGTAATCGGGAAGATTAGTGTTTGGAGATGTTATTTAAAGAGTAGGTGGGATACTGACCGGGCGCTCACACTGAAGCAGGGAGAAAGAATAGGTTGCGCGTTCGAGGACACAGTCCGTTGCAAACACACCTCCGCGGCCACGAGATAGGAAAAACAAGAAAACAGCTATCAACACTAACAAAACGAGAGCAGAGAAAGTCATGGCACAGGCCGGATATACAAAAGAAAATAAACGAGTGAAAGTGAGCAATAGAGCTGACGAACGGAACTATCTAGAACTATCAACGACAACAGAGAAAGCTGCAGAAGAGGGTGACATGAAGGAGTCATATACTGCAACCAAGAAGCTATCATCAAAATATAGTAAACCGAAGCGACCAGTCAAGAACAAGGGCAAACCAATCACTGAAGTTTAAGAGCAGCAAAACGCGTGGGTAGAGCACTTAAAAGAACTTTAAAAAGCTAACCCACTGAACAGACCAGACGCCGATGTACCACAGAGAGACAACCCTATAAATGTTACTTCACGAACAATCGGAGAAATCACCAAGGCTATCAAAAAGTTAAGAATGCCAAAGCACCAGGAACAAACAGCATGCCACCTAAAGCATTGAAATCAAGCATACAGGTAACCGCAAAGATGTTCTACGCTCTGATGTCAGATAAGGCTGTCTACTTTCACTCTTTTCTATCTGTTTTGGTTATGAATTGGATTCTGAAGACCTCCACATCTCCGAAGTATGGAATACAGAAGACATTTTGGAACCTTTTACTACTTGTACGACGAATGCAGACATAAACAGCTAGTGTACCAGCGACCCTCACAGTAGTAAACCTTAAACAAAAACCCGTATGATTCCCAGAAATATCCTAGAAACCTCTGGCATGTACACATTAGTTTAGCACATTTGTTTATAAGTGGTTCTTAGTTTTACTGTTACAACTGAGCATTGCAACGCAGCAGCTGCCAAAGGTTTCCGAGCTTTATGATCGCTTTGCCGAGAATTCAAATGCTATGAAGATATTTTTCGCATTTTATGTCGCATCTATGTAAGACCACACATAGAGTACTGTATCCAAATAGCCGGTTGATGTCTTATTAAGGATACTGACACACTAGAGGGGAAAAAAGTTAGTGAAGGGTCTTCCCAAACTCACCATGATGAGCGCTTGAAACACCTGTACCTTTTCTCCTTATCACATCGTAGAACGTGAGGTGACCTTATATTAGCATTCGGTATCTTCAAAGACTTGGGTATTAATGTCTTATTATTTTGCTCCCTCCAGCACTAATATTCTTCCAGGTCATAGCTAAAAGGTTCAAACATTGCAACCCAATAAGCCTAAAGTAGGGTTCTGTTTTTCCCATCGATTGGTCAACGACTGGAATGCTTTACACGAACAAATGGTACCAGCACCATTAATGAAAATTCTCACGAAGCTGGACCTACACTGGAAGCAAGCTGCAAGAAATAATCCAACTTCACCTGTTTCTGTTTGGGCACCCGGACAGTATTCCAGCCCTCAAGCAAATCGAATGACTTATGGTGCTTTCCTGTACCAATGTTTGTGTATTTAAATAAATAAAAACAAATAAAGGAATAACACATGTCCACCGACCTATACTTATTACTGGAGACTGAATCTGTTTGGAAAAACATTTGTATTTGTGGTTTGAACATTTTGTAACCGGTTGCATTACAGCTAGTTATTTACATGTCGATTATGGATCCAATAAACAGTTCAACAATAGGTCACCATGACCTGATGACTAAGTAATCAATTGTAACCAGGCAACCCAGAAATCCTCTACTTGACATCATAGAAGCGACCCTACAACCTCAGATATGGAGTTTAAAATTGTCATTAAGGAGAACAAATGGGAGTGGATTGAGAGTGAAACACTAAGGACCCCTGCTTGTCATAGTATACCAGTTTAAAATGAAACAAACTCGGACAGACTGTAGACTAAGGAAAACTGAAAAACAAAATTTGACACGCGGGTGAACCATAAGAAGTTAAAACAAATAATCCCACAGCTTATCAATAGTCATATTCCAAACACTAACCCTTAATCTGTCGTTCTGTAAACATTGACAAATATCCGAAAATCTCTCTTGGCTCAAACCAATAGTGACTGTGTATCTTGGCACATGGTTGATTTCCAGCATTTTATTTAAACAAAAGGCCGAGGGCCTTCCCTTTTTCGTAAGGTCCTGAGTGTCTGCTAATCTCTTAAGCGAGCCAATCAAGGGTGAGGACATCAATTCTTCGAGCAGTTAGTCCTACTGGCTGACTACTTTGAGGGAAAGCCAGTACGCTACGGATATTTTACTGGACTTTACACTTTAACATCCCTTATTTACTCAGTGAGTTGTTCTGAACCCGTTAGAAGAGAAGAGTACACACCATGAGCGAGTTTATTACTTAGCACTCCATACTTCCAGATTAGACTACCTCTTAGCCTGCCGTAAAATTAAGTAAAGAGGTTCAACTTCGTAAACTAAAATACAGATGGTAGATGACCCAAAACTTTATTCCCCGTACTTTTTCTTGGTGTTATCTTTTAAGCACGTGGTTGCCGCAAATACGTAGTTTTTAAATAAAACTTCCTTAGGGCTGTGTAAGCCATGATGAACACATTTGTATTTAATTGAGTGGAAGCTCACTATAAAGTGAGTGCAGTTCTAAACAATTTAGCAGCAACCGGGCGGCACTAGTGCCTTATTTTAAGGTAACGGCTAACTTTTATTCACAGATCATTATGGGACAAGACTGAATGCACTGACGCTTCACCTGTCATAGTTATTGCAGTTTGAGTGTCAACATGTACACTGATCCCTATACCTGTTAACAAATTAAATCATTAAGTGACACAACTCTTAACTTTTGTGTACAGTTAACATATGTAAATTTTTAAAAAAATATTGACCAACGACGTTTCTGGTGAGAAAATGTAAACACACCAAAGCGTTGCGTGTTACGGCATAACCTTGGGATTCGTCAACTGGCAAGGGCGAATTTGATCCAAAACTCAATGCTCAATAAATCCAGTCTTCAGTATTAGGGAGGTTTTTCCGATCTGTATTGATCCGTGCAGTTTGTACCATTGTGGAGTGTCAACCTTTCTTTGAACACAATAACATAAGGTGCTGATATTACGTGTTCTGGTAAATAATAAAGGCAATTCACTACCCGGTGCGAGAAACGGAACTCCAGACGCAGACGATTTGGTCTCTGTTCTTGAACTTTCTTGGAATGTCCTCTCCAATTAACAGTTCAAGAAAAAGAGGAAAAATTAGACATAATAATACCAAGGTCATCGTTCAGTGTATTATAAGCTAATATTAGATCACCCTGTATTCTACGGTACGATAACTGAAATAAGTTAAGGTGTCTCAGTCTGTTCTGATAAGATAGATCTTTAACCATTTTAGTTCCTGGTTGCCATACTCATCTCAGCATATTAGCCTCATACTTGAAACAAGGACTAACTGCTTGAATCATATATTCCAAACGCGGTCTCATGAAAATCTAAACATTTCTTTGTCCAAACACTGAAAATACCTGCGAAAAGCACACAATACCCCAAAGCCTCTAGCGGCGGCAGCCATGTAGTTGCTCGTAGTTTTGAGATCGCTGCTTATTATTACTCCCAAATTTGTACAGTGCAATAATTTAGGTAACACAAACCCACGTATTGTTTAACTGATACTAATCATCATAGTTATTTAATTCCAACACCACACTCTTGTTAGAACTTACTTCTAGTGTCCACCCGCCCATCCATGCCACCAATGAATTGAGATCATCCTGTAATACTATTCTATCTGACATACTGTTTATGGATCCCCAAATCTTTATGTCATCGGCGAAAAGCAGAACGGTTGATTTTGCTGCCGTCAGTAATTCGTTTACATAAAATGAAAGGAGAAGAGGACCGAGGATTATGCCCTGGAGTAAAATTATAAAAAACGTGGATTGGTCCATGTGGAACTCCACTTTTTACAGGTTTCCACGATGAGAGAGCTCGATTTACCCCTATCCTTTGTCTCCTATCATAAAGAAAGTCACTTATCCAGTCCACGACATTAAAATGGATTCCAAAGCTTTCCAGTTTTAATTTAAAACCAGAATGGCAGACCTTATCGAAGGCTTTACTTAGATCTATGAAAATCACATCTACAGGAGTATTTTAATGTTTTGCCACAACCCAATATTCTCTTGCAATGAGAATATTTGTCAAACATGATGTGCCATTCTGGAAACCATGTTATTCACTATTAAAAGATTTTGCCCTTCCACATAGTTTATAACAACCATCCAGGTAATCTTTTCCAATAATTTTACAGCTACACTGGTTGAACTAGCGGGTCGATAGTTACTAATTAATTCTTTGCTTCCACCTTATACACCGGACTAATTATTATGTTATTTCAATCCCTTGACAGTCAGGACTGCCACAGAGACATATCAAACAGCATAGTCATAGGTTCAACAATTAAATCCGATAGGGTTTTCATAATCCTGGGATGAATATCATCACGACTACTGGACATATCGAGTTTTAGATGCCGAAGTAGTCTTTAGACAGTACCTTTCTCAATAACTACAGGGTCCGTCAATCATAAATAATCATCGATCGTTTCTTATTAATGGTAAGAAAACAATTCGCTAAAATGTTCTGATAAAGCTTCGGCTTTTTGTATCATCTCGTGTCAACACAACCGCATAGTCTCAGCTCCTTTCTGAACCACCTTCGTTTGTCAGCTGTTTATCCACTCATACATTGTTCACATTTGTTTTCTTAAACCTATTAGAATGCTCATGCTTAGTAAATACTCTAATAAAAGCATCCAAAATCCTAAAATTGCTTGGCTTTATTCTCCGTAATTTTTATCAAAATGAATCTAAAATACTTCTTTATAAAGTTTATGAAGGACCTATCGTTGAATACTGCTCGTTCTTATTATCCAGCCTACGTCTATCTGGTATACTAAAGGTGGAAAGAAAAAAACGAAACTTCACTCACAAAATACTTAAGACTGACTCAGTCATTGACTACAGTTCCCGATGCCAAATCTTAGGAATAGCACCCCTTTGGGAAAGAAAGCTTAGGTCTAATTTGATTCTCTACTTCAAAGTACTCAAAAACCTTACTTATTCAACATGTAAGATAGTTCTTGCCCGAGATTACCATGAATAAGAACTTCGAAACAAAGTACTTACCGTCAAAGTTTAGAAACACAGATAATAATTTATTCTCAAATGACAGTTCGTTACATGAGGCATGACAGTTTACAGGCAAGATCAAACTGTTACAAATGATACAATATCCACTGTAGTTAATTACCCAGCAGGGTTGATAATTTATAAGATATGAAATGTAAATGAAGTCAGTAAAACAGTTGGCGCGCTTCATGAAAGTGGCGTTGCGACGTGCAACTGATGGTCAAGGATAGATCCATTAAAGGTGAGGACTTCTAGAAATTGCAACCTTATATCACTTTGGAGTATCTGAGGCTTCAAGGAAGGTGCAGGATGAAGTCATCCGTTCCACATCTCAAGAGGGCTGTAAAAGGGAGCAAGTAAAAGGAAGGGCGAGTGGCAGAGCAGCCAATGTTCATGAAAGAAAATTTAAGGTATGATTACTCAGTTTAATTTTATTTTATTAGAGTATTTACTAAGCAAGAGCATTCTAATAGGTTTAAGAAAACAAGTGTGAGCAATGTATGAGTGAATAAACAGCTGACAAACGAAGGTGGTTCAGAAAGGAGCTGAGAGTATGGGACTATGTGTAGTTATAAAATATAGAGCTAAAAACAGTATTGTGATGCACAATTGGCTATTTCCTTTTTTTCGAAGCTATTGTAGCCTTTTTATTTATATATTAGTTTTTTTATAGATTTCATAGGGTCCTGAGTAGGCTTCGTATTTTAGTGAATTGTCTAGTTTGCTTGTAATAGGATTACTGGGTAGGCAGTGAAACCAATTCAACGTTCGAAACACGATTTAATGAGGTATTTTGCGTGATAAATCATCATTAATACCCTAAGTTCGTAACACCCACAAAACCATAAAAAGCTGTAATTAAACAAAATGTTCTGCTCTACAGACATGGGTGGATTGAAGTTATCTTCCTACCATCATGTTTGCTGGTCAGTAACTCAGGAAAACTTCTTCCTTATTAAGTATGAAATAATATGGAACAGTCTTCCCTCCGGAATACGCATGGCAGATGAACTACATACGTTCGTAAAACTGCTTGATCAAGCCCTCACTTTCACAGATTTAGCACGCACGAACACATCTGAACCCCACTCAGACATCATAGGCTCTCTCCATGTCTAGACCAAAATGGACTTCAAGTTCAGTTTGCCTTATTTTTCCTACTTTGCAGCCGTATTATTTACTTTTACTACCCTATTTCTTCACTTGAAGTAGACAGGTAACTCACTGGACCTATCATTACTGTTAAACTAAACTCGGTCGATAAGGGACACTCACTACCACCCTAAAAAGTCAAACGGACGGCACAATCGACTGCCTACGACCAGTGGTCTTGCATCTATGGAGCCTGTTACCGATCAACTGGTTAAGACAACACAAAATAACATCAGCACCAAGTTAGTGTGAGTTTCTTCCTGTTTTTTCTCTATTAGCTTTTTACTTTTCTGCACACTATGTTCACTAGCAATTAATATTATTTCTCCACTCGTTAACTTACTTACAAATCATATACTTCTATACTTTTCCGCCTGTTTTAATAAACAACTATCCTACATTATACCCTTCTTATTGCTTATACTCTAATTGGCAAACTATACTTTATAGCATAGTCAATTAAAGCACTGCACTGATGCCTTACCCACAGTCCATAGCTTTTAACTGCATGATAAGCTTGTAAAATGGTACTTGTGGAAATAATGTTTCCCAACAGGTTATGAAACACAAACGATTGTATGAGGTATGACAGATATGCAAAAATAAGCTTAAATGAGTCTAACATCACAAAAGCAGGGGGTAGAGTTACTAATCAGCAAGCAGTGATGGTGAGGGCGATAACTTCAATCCACCCATGTTTGTGGGACAGAACATTTTGTATGTATCGGGCTCCTGATGATTGAGAATAAGTCAATCAATCCGTGATATAGATTGTCTTACCACACTCACCACTCAGACTTATATTTCCAATTTTATACTGGATTAGCTATTCTACTAAGACAACCTATAATATGCTAACTCGGACTTTTTCACTAGGATTGTGTGGCTAACATCGGGTGGACAAAAGAAGAAAATTAGACAGTAAAAGATATGGTTATTAGTATACTTAACACTTCGCCTCCTATATGCACACTCCCTTCTAATAAATCGCTTTCCTTGTATCAACTTTGACTTCCCTTCTTTCATGTGAGCTTACTTCAACTTGTTAAACATCACAACTCATTGTTCTTTATTACTACATTCTCTTATATGGAGCCTCTGACTTCATTTCACTCTAACGAGAGATAATATGAATTTATTTTAATTTATTATACCTCTGTCCATTCTACTACACAATGTTAAGCAACGTTTGGCGTTCATATCGAAGTGCCTTGTTGCTCTTCTGTTCCTCTTTTTTTTCTTCTTCAGAAATTTTCTATGAGGGCGCAGCCATGCAAATTCTGACGTCTGGAACAAACTTGACGTACGCTTCCCCTCAAGATCATAGTTTACAGCAAGCGCTCTACGAGTTTAGTTTATAACAACTATAAACTTAATACGTTGGGAAGCATGCTGTGAGCCAACAATTGTTGTAATTTGTAGATCATGCCTGTAAAAATGGCGTGTACCTGCTCATGCACAAATATACTGTATTATTAATCCTACTGCTCACCTCCATCCGGATCAATCTGTCCGCGTGCAGATGGTTTTATATTATTGTGATTCTCTAAGCTTAGAGTCTGTGTCCTGACACAGACTACAGGAAACATTCCTTCATTCTATTTGGTTGCCCTCCAATTTTCATATT